ATTTTTCCAAAAAGAGAAGCCATTCTTGGCGATCGAGCAATTAGCCAAAAACAACAACCTATCATGTAAGTTTTTTATTGTTATTCATTGCATATAAACAAATTAGAACCCAATTTAAACAATCAAGAAAAAGTTGGAATATATTCACACATTGTTTTTTTGTAGACTTTTGTACTTGCGAATTTGTTATAATTGGGATATCTGTCACTCATAATCGTTTATTCTAATCTAAATAAAATTGGGTTCTAGAAATTCAGAACAAATCGTATCTGATTTTTTTTTGCCGATTAATATGTAATACATTGCATTTTTTGTGAGATTTTTATGCATTACAGACGTATAAGTAGTTCAACACCTTCATAATTTATCCCTGTCATTTCTCATTACGTTTTTTATCAAAGTTATGGCGACATCCACAATAAATGGTTTAAATACTTAAAAAATGCATCTATATTAGTGAATAAGTATTTGCACAGAAATGTCAATCCATCAGTTCATATATGAACTGAATATATGAATTATTTATAATTGATTGCATATTTTACAATATGTACTTTTGAAATACTTATCAATTTTGTTCATTTATTTATTTAGTTACTCATTCATTTGTTTATTTATTCATTTATTCATTTATTCTCTCATTCCCTTTTATATCCTTTAATTTTTTTATGTGTTGATTGCTTTATTTACTTTTTTACTCATTCTGACAATCGTCAATTTTAAGAAAGCTGAAACCAATAATATCGTATATTATTATTCCTTCGAAATTATTTAAAAAAAAGAATCATTGTTTAAAATATTTTTTTATTCCAATATTTAATTAACAATATTTTTAATGCTCATTTTTGATAAATTTACATACTAATTTAAACTTAATAATAAATATCTTATGAATTTAAATTTTTTATATTTAATTATTTATAACAAAACATTATTAGAAATACACGATTTGTGAACATTCTTGGTCACGGAAAATATCGTTTTCCTTGAAATTTGAAATTGCAAATTATGTATTAGTGATTATTTTTTTATAAAATATATTTTCAAACTCTAATGCATTTTTTGACACTTTATGTATTTATTTTGTTATTTGTAAGCAGTCTTAACAATAAATATCATTTTACGTTATTTTTTTTTGAAACACTGTCACAATTATTATTTGATATTCTGAAAATTTATTTTAGAAGAAATAAATTTGAATTAAATAAATTATTTAATTTTTATTTGTTGGTTTTTAACAAGTTTTTTACTTGTTTCAAAAACAGTTGCATTTACTGAAAAAAATATTCGTTTGTTTCTATGTTAGTACGCGCGTAACATTTTACATTTAACTTCCGGAATGGCTTTAAAAGCCACAAAGGGAAGGTTTGTGTAAAAATTAGCTTTGTCTGAACTTTTTTCTAACTGTTACTACGAGCTTTTGTCTGTTTTTATTCCCTGGGCTATAATATGTTTTGTACTCTAACATGAGCTGTGCAACGAATTGCCGGTGAAATTTCATGTATATTTTTTAAATATAAATTCAAACTAATAAAAGCCAATGAAACGCTTGCTCGTTAATTTTTCTTGTCAACATCTATTTTCACATGTTAATGCTGGTGTAGCGGAACTGGGGCTTATTGTACTTTTTTAAATTAATTAATCTTGAGATACACTTTCTATGAAATAAAGATGAATAGTTGCCATAACTATAGAATAATCAAGTAAAAATAATTTCATTACTATTGTCTATTATTTTACAATTAATAGTTTTTTAGAAAAAGTGCGGCATTACAACTTACCCCCGTGTATGAGGCTAGTTGTAATATCTTCAACACACTTCTGTTTACTGCGTCGGTCTGCTGGACAGTAGCTATGGCATTATTATGCCGACAGTTTACACGTTCATCGAGACAAAATAATATTGTAATATTATTCAATATTCTATTGAAAAACGCCTGTCTTTACTGACCCCTGTTACATGAAGCTCCTAACTCCCCTATATCTTATATTTGCATTCAATATTCACTCAAAACTATAAGCCATAAATGTATCATAAAATTAATAGCTACTAGTGTGTAGAATTGTGTCTAAAGATGAATTGCCTTCACTTCAATTCAATTCAATTCAATTCTTTTTAGTGAAGAAAATTAAATTCAATACAATTTCAAATCTGCATAAATATGATAATTATTAAAAAAATGCATTTTTATAAAATATATATGAGGTATATTTCTATATTTGATGCTTAAAATTTTATTTTAGTTTTGATTTAAGAAAAATACTTTAACTATTATTATTTTTATTTCATAGATAAAATATAAGATTATATGATTTGGACGATGACGTCTATATATTAAATCTGAAGTAAAAAAACAAAAAATAATCATTTCTATAAATTATATAAACTGAATTTCTTAGTTAAAATTATGCATTTCAAGTATATAAGTGAGATTTAGAATTTTAGCTAGTATTAGAACTAAAATCAGAATCATTTTCGATTTAAAAAATTGTAGAATTTAAAAATTAAATGAAATTTTGAAATAAAATTTTTTATAAGCCTTTCAAAATGTTATTTGAATCATTCTAATCGGATGCTTCGTTTTCCCAGAAACTGCACTTTTTAAACTTAGCTCCGTATCTCCGAAACGGCACGACCTGTCTTTGCCAAAAACTAATCTGCACATATCTCCATCAGTAGGAATCAAATGTTGAAACATTCAAATCGGTTGATTAGCGAGCCCAAAATCGTGAACGAAAAATTGTATTCACACAAAACACACACTTTTTTCAAACATTTTTTTCAAACATGCCAAAATTGTGAGAATCATCTGAAAGATAAAGATATGCAAAAAACTTCATTTTCGATATTTGAACGATTATTATAACTTACTCTACAAGAAGTTAATAAATTGTAATAATATAAAGCTTAATTTTTGAAGTGAAATTTTTGAAGTGAAACTTTTGAAGTAAAACTTTTTTAGGCGCGACTAGGGTGTAAATTCGTACAAACGCAACGGAAGTGCGTAACGGCAGATAAGATAAGAGTCGAGTGCCAATGATCTCTCGATGATATCATTTCTATACGGGTCGATTGTGATTAGTCGTCATGTATGTGAAAAAAGATCTGTCGTTGTATGCGTACCGGCGTCAACGTTGTACGGTACCGATATCAACAAGGAAATTGGCATAGATAAATAAACATTTTAAAGTTACATCGTAGTACAAATGTTGATTTAATGAAAAATGTCTGAATCAAAAGAATATTTTGCCCTGTCCCTTAATATTTTTCCCTGTTTCTTAGAAATTATTTCTATATTATTCGTAATTTCTATAAATCTTTGAAGTTATTAAAATGGAAAATATTTACACAAATTTAGTTACAAAATTTAGTTACCAAATAATAAACTAGTCAAAAAACTAAACATTTGATGTGCACCAAATAAAGTTTTTTGGCCACCAAACAGCAATTTTCGATCTTCTGTTTTAAAATTGGAACAATCATAAACCATTATGTATATCGGCATATCGTTAAATTATCCTTCGTCGCCTTTCTTGGCATAAACGATGTTTCCGTACTCCAATTCCGTACAAAATCGTCACTCACAAGAAGATCGGAACAGAAGAATTAGACGTTTATAATAACTGACATATTCTTGTAACAAGTTGTCTGGAACACGCTTTCGAAATGTTTATATTAATTGGCATAAATTGTACAACGTCAACTTTATTGACATATAGCTGTTACGGACCTGAGATGGAAATCGTACATCAGACGATCTGACGATTATTTGCGAAATAAATATTTAATTAGATCCGAATGTCAAATCGATTTTTGCAAATGTTGGATACGATGACATGTGACGCGTTTGAAGGTACTGACAACTAAAAAATTGTGTGAGAGTTTGATTACAAATATTCCTAGTAAACCACTTATAAAGGTTTACTTTTGTTACGTTGGCCCAATTACATTGTAATTGGTTATTTAATGAGGCGAAACGAATCCAGTTATCAATTTAGGAACAAGCGAAGAATATGGGACATTCTTAAATAATGATTTTAGAGAAACATACAATACATACAATATGGATGAATATTAATAAATAAACAATCAACATGCCTTTTAGATTACAATGTAGAGAAGCTAGAGGCTTGTTCTAACAGATTTTTTTAAAATTATATACATACATATATATTGAATACATATATATTGAAACTTACTGATTATATTTTTACGAAATAGAGATAGATAGAGAGATAGATAAACTGTAACTATTCCTCTACCAAACCAAGTGAAAATAATTGCGTAACGACAGTCCATCATTTCACACTTAATATTTTTTTTAGAAAATGTGCGGTGATACAGCCTATCTCGCGCTTGGGGCAAGTTGTAACGTCTATTGGGGCAAGTAGTAACGACAAAAAAACTACAATAATATCTCTAATCATATACCTTTTGTTTATTTTTAACAAAATTGACATCTTTCAAAAGTAAATGTATAACATTTTATATGTAACATGTTCTACATGTGGCCATCTCATACAAATGATACACTCTACCGAATCTACTTTATTTTATGCAAGCTTCACCACAAATCAGGCGATATCATTCTTCTGATTCAGATTCTAAATATGAACATTTTTTTAGCTCTGTTCATTCCGTTTTTATTTTTGTTGATTGGAACGGGGAATACCTTTGGCTTTCCCCTTCTTATTTTATTTATTTCTTCCTTTAATTTTTTTTTTCTGTTTTTTTGCATTTTTTTTTTATTTTACTTTCATTCAACTCTTTTTTGCAGACGTATTCATCAACATTGTATATATTTTTGCGTTTGCTTACAAATAGTACCTACCTATAGGTACTAGTCTTGATATACCAAGACCAAAGTGCCAATCTCGGAAAAAAGTTTTGTCCAAAGTGACTTCATAACTTGGGGCATATTGTATTATGTTACAACTAGCCCCAAGATTTTGTTGCAACTAACCTTAGGTGTGATTTTTTTTACATTAGTCAAGATAATTCAAACAATTTAGCAATCACAAAAATGGTTAAGCGTCATTAATGAATGATATATTTGAAACAAAA